GAATCAGAATCGGAAGGTGAGAACTCCCCCTGCTCTCATCTGTCATATTGAGGCTTTTGAACGTCTCCTCACTAGTGTAAGCCTGTTTTGACATGGCTGGGACAGGTAGACTGCTGATGTTGGCTGTAGGACGGGTACTCTGGTGATGGTGGCTGTGTGACGGTACTCTGCTGATGGTGGCACTAATGGACGACAGGTGCACTGCTGATGGGCGACAGGTACACTGCTGGGTAACAGATGCACTGATGGGTGACAGGTACACTGATGGGCACTGCTGGGTGACAGGTGCACTGCTGGACGACAGATGCACTGCTGGTGAGCACTGATGGGCGACGGGTACACTGATGGGCGACAGGTGCACTGCTGGTTGGGAGATGGGTACACTGATAGGCGACAGGTGCACTGATGGGCGACAGGAGCACTGCTGATGGGTACTGAAGGGCGACAGGAGCACTGATTTGGTGACGGGTACACTGATGGTCACTGGGCGACAGGTACACTGATGGGCGAGGTACACTGATGGGCGACAGGTACACTGATGGGTGACAGGTGCACTAATTGGCATTGGGTACACTGATGGGCGACAGGTACACTGATGGGCGACAGGTACACTGATGAGCACTGTGACGGGCTGTTATCTGTGTATGCACTATAAAAACTCGGTAACTCACTATTAGAAGATTCCTCTCCTCACACAAGATCTGTGTGTGAGGAGAGGAAGCTGGTAACAGTGAGTTACCGCTCTGAGTTTGCATTTATGACAGACTGTGATTGATCACAGCCTGTCACGTGGAAAAGAACAGCAGCCAACAGCTCCTTACCACGATGGATGATGATCTGTGTCCCAGGAACACAGATCAGCAGCGAACAGCGCGCTCCCGCGGCTGAGCATGCACGTATGACATCTCCCAGAACGAGAGAACCGCCTTGCACCCGTCATCTCCTTATATGGCGGGCGCGAGGCAGTTAAATAATAGGGTTCCTGCCTTTACTGCTAAGACCCACTCTACTAGATCTAGGCGTTCCTCTTGGCCTTTTCAGCATCAAAAAACTCTTTCCCAGATTTTGAATATTGCCTTCTTGGTTTTCTGTTCACATTGTTTCTAAATTCTACCAGGTGGATGTTGCAGCTTCATCTGTTGCCACATTGGGATGTAAAGTACCTCAGGCAGTTCTCTGAGCTGCAGGTGGTCCCCGGTTTTCTATAGTATACTTGGACCTGCTATTGTTTTGTTGTGTTGCCCATCCCTCAGTTGGATTGCTTTTTGGATGTTTCAAAGATTAAAGACTTCTTGAGTCCTTCAGACTAGAGAGAAAATGGGATTTAGATGCTAACTGTAAAATCTATTTTCCATGCCATCCCTCTGAGCTTTATAATTATGTCCTTGGTACTGCTCTATTACAAAGCTCCAGCATGGGTTCTCAGGATAGCCTTTTTTTTTTTTTTTTTGGCAATGTCCAGTCCTCCAATAGGCAGTAGTATAGCCCAAAGGTTTATTCCTGGCATTCCTTTCATGGAGCTAGCATAGCTGCCCTGATATATAAACAGAAACTCTAACTTTTAAACCTATAAATAGCATAGTTTGAAAAAAGTCTTTAATGTTCTAAATTATGTAAAGTAGGTTTAAAGCAGCGGTTCTCAACCTGGGGGTCGCGACCCCTTTGGGGGTCGAACGACGCTTCCACAGGGGTCGCCTAAGACCATCGGAAAACACATATTTCTGATGGTCTTAGGAACCGAGACACCGCTCCTCGCCGCCGCCGCCACCACCGCCGTCTCCAGGTGTGGGCGGGATGACATGCCGCCCCTGTCATCTGGACACACCTCGAGATCAATCCTCGCCTGTGATTGGCCGCCGGCACTGTAGCTCAGGAGAGGCACACAGGCGGCCAATCACCGGCAAGGAGGTGGAGCTTGGAGAGGAGGAGCCGAGCGGCACCGCGAAGATCGAGCGAGTGAAGAGGAGGAGAGCGGCCGGAGAAGGAAGACATCTGACAGGTAAGTGTCGGTACCATGGGAGAGGGAGGGAGCGAGCGAGCCCAGGCTGGAGCAGGGGTCTGCAAGGTAAGTATCATTGGTGTCAGTGGGAATAGTGCCCCATCATTGGTGTCACTAATACCAATGATGGGGCACTATTCCTCCCACTGACACCAATGATGGGGCACTATTCCTCCCACTGACACCAACGATGGGGCACTATTCCTCCCCCACTGACACCAACGATGAGGCACGATTCCTCCCCCAAATGACACCAACGATGGGGCACTATTCCTCCCCCACTGACACCAAGGATGGGGCACGATTCCTCCCCCCCACTGACACCAAGGATGGGGCACGATTCCTCCCCCCACTGACACCAAGGATGGGGCACGATTCCTCCCCCCACTGACACAAGGATGGGGCACGATTCCTCCCCCCCACTGACACCAAGGATGGGGCACTATTCCTCCCCCCACTGACACCAAGGATGGGGCACTATTCCTCCCCCCACTGACACCAAGGATGGGGCACTATTCCTCCCCCCACTGACACCTATGATGGGGCACTATTCCCCCCACTGACACCTATGATGGGGCACTATTCCCCCCACTGACACCAATGATGGGGCACTATCCTCCCCCCACTGACACCAATGATGGGGCACTATTCCTCCCCCCACTGACACCAATGATGGGGCACTATTCCTCCTCCACTGACACCAATGATGGGGCACTATTCCTCCCACTAACAGCAATGATGGGGCACTATTCCTCCCACTGATACCAATGACGGGGCACTATTCCTCCTCCCACTGATACCAATGACGGGGCACTATTCCTCCTTCCACTGACACCAATGACGGGGCACTATTCCTCCCACTGATACCAATGATGGGGCACTATTCCTCCCACTGATACCAATGATGGAACACTATTCCCCCCCACTGATACCAATGATGGGGCACTATTCCTCCCCACTGACACCAATGATGGGGCACTATTCCTCCCACTGATACCAATGATGGGGCACTATTCCTCCCACTGATACCAATGATGAGGCACTATTCCTCCCACTGACACCTATGATGGGGCACTATTCCCCCCACTGACACCAATGATGGGGCACTATTCCTCCCCCCACTGACACCAATGATGGGGCACTATTCCTCCTCCCACTGACACCGATGATGGGGCACTATTCCTCCTCCCACTGACACCTATGATGGGGCACTATTCCTCCCACTGATACCGATGATGGGACACTATTCCTCCCACTGATACCAATGATGAGGCACTATTCCTCCCACTGACACCAATGAAGGGGGCACTATTCCTCCCACTGACACCAATGACGGGGCACTATTCTTCCCACTGATACCAATGATGGGGCACTATTCCTCCCAATGACACCAATGACGTGGCACTATTCCTCCTACTGCAAAATTACAGTTATGAAGTAGCAACGAAAATAATTTTATGGTTGGGGTCACCACAACATGAGGAACTGTATTAAGGGGTCGCGGCGCTAGAAAGGTTGAGAACCACTGGTTTAAAGTAAACTGACGGCGTCTTTGTACATTTTCTGATGTGTATGGTTTAGCCTTAGTGTCTCTAGTGCATATGTAGGCAGATGGAGAACACAAGCAGAATGTAGTAGAAGAAGAAACTAAAACAATGTAGCTATTGAAAGTAGGAACAGATCAGAGACTAGCTGATATTTTATCCTGTTCACAATGGTGTTCTTGTTTCCAAATCAGGAGATCCAAAGAGGCGGCAGCAATGAGTCATCACAGACAGCACTGTATAAAGACATGCTGGCATCACTGGAGATTGGTGAGCCTTTTATTGTATTCTTGGAAAGCATTTCCTGCTGGTCATGTCTTATTGGCACAGTTCACTGCATAATGTTTTTTTCGTTTTCAATTTTATTTTTAAATGTTTGCAGGTTTGTGTACTGTCTTTAATACCGTTTTCCTTGCTTAGATATAAAATCTTCACTTCCAAATTAAAAGTTTACCAAATTAGAATACTTGATGTCTAATAAGATCAGCATGGACTGCTCAATTGATGACTTATTCTAACTAAAAGGCCATATGGGTGGCCTATCAAAAATAAAAAAAAGCAGCCTATAGATTACTCCATTTTCTCTTGATTCTCCTATCAACACAGTAAATGATGACGGGAATGCCTTCTGCAGCACTACTGTGTTTTGGTGGTGGGGGGGGGGGGTCTTCTCGGCAGCAGAACACAATGGTTACTGCTAGTGAGATATAGCCTCTGGCATTAATAAAATTTTACAAATATCAGACTTGTACCCAATTGATTAATGCAGGGCTTAAAAGTTCGAGTCTAGACCTACTAGCCAGGCACAAACCTTACTCTCCACCAGTTGCCCCACCCAACCTTGCCCAGGTCCTACCCCAGCCCTGCCCCCAACCACGCCCCCTTAAAGCTTATGAAATTACGTTTTTCTTTAGAATAAAGAGTCCAAAACATAAAAAACTGCAATTATAACATAGCTTTATTATGTCAATTTAAACATAACAGCAATAGCTTAACCGCTTGCCGCCCTGCCACTGTGTATATACGTGTGCAGAGCGGCAGTGGAGCGCAAAACCACGTTTAAAAAACGGGTTCTGCGCTCCCAACACTTTTGCCGGCAGGGGGCGCGCGCGCTCCCGCCGACCCGCAGGTGATCCGATTCGATCCAGGAGGGATCAATCATTAGATTTCAGCCAGTGATTTCTGGCTGAAATCGGATGATCGGTCCCTGTCCTATCCTGTCCTGTGTTGATATTTACACAGGGCAGGATATGATGTCATTCTTCTCTGCCTGGACACATTCCGTTCCAGACAGAGAAGAAGAGACATTTAAACGTGAGTAAAACAGCACACTGACAGTTAGAACACAGTCTAGGACACATTTAACCCCCTGATTGCCCCCCCCCAGTTAACCCTTCACTGCCCTGTCACCAGTGTCACTGATCAGTGAAGCGAATTTTATTGATCACTGTATCAGTGTCGCTGGCGACTTCCAATAGTGCAGCGCCCCTCCCAGATAGCGCCAGTTTGCCCCGCCAGTACACCAATAAAGCCATTTAAACCCCTTAATTCCCCCCCCCCCCCAGTTAACCCCTTAACTGCCCTGTCACCAGTGTCACTGATCAGTGAAACGATTTTTACTGATCACTGTATCAGTGTCGCTGGCGACTTCCGATAGTGTTAGCGCCCCTCCCAGATAGCGCCAGATTTGCCCACTAATACACCAGTAGTCCCATCTAACCCCTTGATCGCCCCCCCCCTCCCCGAGTTGACCCCTTCACTGCCCTGTCACCAGTGTCACTGATCAGTGAACCAATTTTTACTGATCACTGTATCAGTGTCGCTGGTGACTTCCGTTAGTGTTAGCGCCCCTCCCAGATAGCGCCAGATTGCCCGCTAATACACCAGTGATCCCGTCTAACCCTTGATCGCCCCCCCTCCTCCCTGAGTTGACCCCTTCACTGCCCTGTCAACAGTGCCACTGATCAGTGAACCAATTTTTACTGATCACTGTATCAGTGTCGCTGGCGACTTCCAATAGTGTTAGCGCCCCTCCCAGA